AAAACCAGTACAACATGGCTTCTGCCTATCATTTGTTTGTAAGTATTTTCACCAGGAATAACTTCTTAGGTCTCTGAATGATTTCAATTCTTCTGTTACTGCACAGCATCAAGTAATGAGGCTGACTGACAATTTTTTAGTGGGTCTTCATTTAGGTTTTCCTTCTGTTTCTTCCTGATGGTCGGTTTCTATTTCAATTGTTTAGGATTGTTCTACTGTCTCTTAAGGGTCCTGAGCCTTAGAGAGATTAACCTGCTCAAGGTCACATATCTTAGACTGGAAACTAAATACACAGTCACTTTACATATAACACCAATTGCATTCTATTTCACTGTCCGCTCCCTGACTACCACTGCAGGTAACAGAATCCCAAATATGTCCTCTTCTGACCTCTAAGGGCACCAGACACACACATGGTGCACATGTATACATGTAGGCAAAACATTCATACACATAAAATTTAAAAATCTAAAAATAAAATTTTAATGGGGTTGGAGTGTGGATTCAGCTATCAGACCAAAAAATTGAATGGCTCTAAATTCCTAGAATTTGTATACAAGTAAACACAAAATGACTTATTTTATAACTCAAAGGGCCTATAATCTCACCATTAATTTGTATGTATGTGTATGTATATATATATATATATGTATATATATATATATAGGAAATTAATCCCTCATATATTCAATGAAGCACTTATTAGACCACTGGATAACAAATTTGGATTTGTCTAAGGTTTCTGCTTCTAATCGAATCACCTCACTACTAAACTAAGAAATCAGAACATATTAGTGTCCTCAATATAGCTGGATTGTGCTCTTCCTGTTCAACAGCATGCAATAGTAAAACAACATAATCAATACTCAGAAATAGCCTGTACCTCATTCACTATGCTTTGCTTCCTATAATAAACACACTGAGATAACCAGGCCAGTGAGCTGGCTCAGCAGGTAAGGGCACATAGCAAGCCTGACCAACCAACCACCTGGGTTGAGACCAACCCCAGAACCCACACAGTGGAAGGACAGAACCAACTCTGCAAGTTGTCCTCTGACCTACACACACACTGTCTCCCCCACCACATATACAAAAATAAATGCAGTTATTACTTACTTCTAACAGTCTGAGTAAAACTTAAATTAGAAGGGACTGCCTTTTCATGTTTCTTTTACCATCCCCCACAGAAATATAGAAAAAGAGATTAAACAACGTCTTTTATCCTCATTTAAACTTCACTGCATTATACATTCACTGTTAGAAAAGTGCCATCTGTCAGGCGTTGGTGGTGCACACCTTTAATCCCAGCACTCTGGAGGCAGAGGCAGGTGGATCTCTGTGAGTTCGAGACCAGCCTGGTCTACAAGAGCTAGTTCCAGGACAGCCTCCAAAGCCACAGAGAAACTCTGTCTCGAAAAACCAAAAAAAAAAACAAAAAACAAAAAAACAAACAAACAAACAAAAAAAGTGTCATCCATCTATAACTTCTATCCTAGCCAATAAAGATTTGAGTAATCCAGAAAAAGAGGGGAATTAACGCTTACCTGGTATTTAAGCAACCACCTAAAAAAGCTTAATAGGGGCTGGTGAATTCCCCAGGGTCAAGGCACTTGCCACCTTGCCTAACATTCCGGTTCAATCCCCAGTACTCACAAAGTAAAGAAAACTGACTCCTGACTCCTACACTCTTACCACACACACACACACACACACACACACACACACACACACA